CCCGGGAGCCAATACGCATAGAGAGCTGGCTTGAAAGCCAGCTCCCTGCACATATTGACTCCAACCTACCCCCCTTACCCTCCAAGCGCTTGCCTCTCTATCAGATGCAGCACCACGGGGTTGGGGTAGGCAGGTGGATCTGGTGCTCATGGGGAGCTGGCTTTTAAGCTAGCTCCTCCTGGGCACCAGCTGCCACTCCCTGCTGCCTCTGATACAGAAGCGGGGGTGGGAGGGAGAGGAGGGGAATGCGTATCAGTTAATCGTGTAGTTGTCTGCACAATGACAGCCGTAGTACCCAGGGTTCGTTCTGGCTGCCGCTGCTGGAGTGCCAATAGATTCCTGGGCTCTGGCTAGCAACAAAGCTTGATTGTTAACTTTAATGGTAAGACTGATGCTTATTGGTTAACTAGTTAAAACTTTACATCCTTACTCTGGCTGTGAAAATATAACCAATCAAAAGTGACATCTTTGAAGATAAGAATGTAACTTAGAAAGCCAAACCAGAGAAATAGCCTATGTCAAAGGAGTACTAAATAGTCTATTTCATTTATATGGAAAGTTAGTTACAAGGAAAGTTGAGACTAGAGATTAAAAAACAAAAATAATTTTAAAAATCAGTCTTGAAAGAAGCAGACCAATAGAGACAGACTTTCAACACCTCTGCAGAAGAAATGCCTTCAAAATCCCCCCTAAAAATGGCACATACCAGTGATTATTTGGAAAGTTTTTAGGAAGGTAAGTGTGCAAAGAAAAGTTTCAGCTAAGTTTACCTCCAGTACTGGTCCAGCTCCCAAAATAGTTCTCTCGACACCACTTGCGTACCCCTTCTGACTCAGTGCGGTGAGGCAATGAATTAAAAAATTTGTACTTTGAGTTTTTCCAGATCCACTTTCACCTGAAATGACTATGCACTGGTTGACATGTTTTTTCAGCATCGTGTGATAAGCCACATCAGCGATGGCAAAAATATGAGGCTCCAGTTTTCCAAGCTGATGATTCTCGTACATCTTGACGTATTTGGGGTTATAAATGGGCAAGAATTTGAAGGGGTTGACAGCAATCAGAATGCTTCCTGCATAGGTATAAATCTTATGTTTTAGAAAGCGGCGTTTGAGATTCTCTAGGAGTGTCATTTCTGTTAAATTGGAGAGATTGCATAAGTCATCCAACTCTTCCTGATGCCATGGAAGAAAACCCCTTTCAACCAACCGTCGAGCATCCTTCTCTTTAGACCCCAGTTGCATATGGACGTATTTGATGGCCCCATCAGCGTCTCTTTCTTGCAAAAGAAAATAGTAGCCATCGTTTTGTGGGTGCTCATCCTGAGCACGGCGAGGCCAGAGCAAAACCCTATGAACAGGAGAATCATGCAAATCAAGTACCCATTCCTCACCTCCCGACTCTTTCACCTCCACAAGCACATAATGCTTTGAGACATCCAAGTTCAAAATATGGATCACATCCTTGATTACATCTGAAGTGGTGCTGTCCTTAGTTGCAGTCACTCTGCAGCAGGAGGCGCTTTCTGACGCGAGCCGGGGGTAAATATGAAGATTATAGGCCGCCTCCTCCTGGCAAGCTGCACTGCCAGCATCTTTTAAACTCATTCTGCCCCCAACCTGGCTTCAGCATACCGCCCCAGCTTGTTGCTCAGTGCCAGTCATCTGCAAAAGGAGAATGACAAGAGTCAAACGTTAAGAGGTATCCTCTCCCACACGTTTCCGCGAAATACAAATGCAACTGAACCACAATATAAAAAGTTATCTGAAAGGTACGGTGGAGTTATTGCACAGACTAAGTAAGGCGTTTTCCTGAACGTGAGTGATGTTATATCAAACCGAAATGGCCCATTTTTACTCTGGATCTCTCACTGGAACGGTTTGCTTTGGGAATGAAACTCAGGTGGCAGAAACTGCTCCTGATGGTCTGAATTTTTCTCAGGAACGCAGTGTCTATTCCTTTTGTAACACACACCACCATTATTGGGAACAGATGTAATTTAGAGCTCATTTCATTGCTCTCAATCCACCACCACATCCTTGGGGCCCAAAAGGTATATTTTTGCTTTTCCTATTTGAGGATGATACACTAAAATTAGTCTAAATTGTAGGGATGTGAAGGACTAGTCGACTAGGCACTAGCTCCCCCTCCTCCGCTGCCTCTATCAGAAGCAGCAAGGGAGAGGAAAGGGGAGTATTTCAAAGCGACAGCACTGCATGGAGCCTTGGACCAGCTGGGGGCCCCCACTTTGGAGAATGGGAAACTTCATTTCTCTGCAAAGGAGTTTGAAACATTTTATGTTACATAATTTTTTTAGATTGTGTTCAGTTCAGGCTTATCGAATGGGAGACCGAACGCGTCACAAACAGTGGGACAACTAACGGCACTTCTCTGGTTAACCGTATGGTCACTGTCAGAACGGTTTCTTATTCTACACAGAAATTAAGGCTGCTTTACAGATGATTCAGAGAGTCCCATCCATTTCTGAAATCTATAATTATCACTGATTTTTGATTTGTGGCACACACTCACCCACAAAGGTGAAAGGGCTATGTCCTCACTTGAAGCATTGCATCAGCGCAGCCGTACTGGTGCAGCTGAGCCACTGTAGCACTGTAAGGGAGATGCTCCAAACCAACAGGAGAAAGCTGTCAAGAGTGTCAATCCACACTCCGTGAGAGACCGTAGCTACACTGCAGAAAGCCAAAAGTCTTGGAGGGGCCCTGGAATTATTCATGGAAAAGAGGACCCAAAAAACCCACTGAGGCTACAGAAGACGAAGAGTGACCACTTCACCTTATCCCTCAGCCAGGCACTTTGGAGTGGGGGGTACTCAGAGACCCCTCCCCCCAAATCACAGAATTCCAGATCTCTTCTAGCAGCGAGAAATTTTAGATGCTTACTAGCCAGAAACCAGTATGAAAGATGGACTCAAGCAGAGTCCAGAGGCAGCATTCCCATAGAAACCTCGGCACCCTTGTCCTTCCCAGCTGCTGAGAGTGGCTGGAGGCTGCTTTTCTTACCCTAGGCATTTACCTTGTTGACAAAGCGCACCTAACCTCATCCGCTAGCTAATACAAAGGGCCGTCTGGTACATTTTTCACTCATCCATCACGTTATCTGCTGGGGGAAATGGAACACTAGACGTCTCAGATCTGCTCATGGAAGACAAGGGGCTCAGTATAACATAAAACACCGCTTGTTTAGAGGACAGCCGGTGGTCTCGACTCAGGAGATTTCCAAGACTGAGAAACAGGAAAAAGTAGTATTTTATTTCTCATCCTGGGGAAAGCAGATCACTGACAAAGCAACATGGCAGATGGTAGACATCAACCTGAAAGTATTTATGCTAGACACATGCAGTCATCACACACATCTGCGTTAGGGGAGATCAAACAGACAAAGCAGCTCTCTTTCCTCACTGGGATGCCCAGAGTCTTCAGTGAAAAGAACATGCTGCAACATGATTTCTACATACATTCACTGCGGGGGAAAATAGGAAGAGTCACCATAATGGTTGCTTCACTTCAACCCAAATATGAAATCCAGATGCGGTTTTCTTTACTTTAACACTGATGAATTTTCAGAAGCCCTCTTCCTCTCAGTGCAACAGCCACCTCCTGTAAAATACTGATTGATGTTAAAAGCTATTTTAATATTAAAGGCTGGGATTTTCAAAGGACTCTAAGGGAATTAGGTACCCAGCTGCCACTGAACTCCTTTTGAACTGAGTCGCCTTTGAAAAAGCTGAATGAAATTATTCAATACAGTAGTTTCTTTGCTGGAAGATGACCAAAGTCATTCAAACTAAAGTTTTAAAGTTCACTTAAGAGCAGCGTGAAATTCAATGTTGCAATAATTGGCTCAAAATACAAACAGGAGGAAAACCTCAATGCAGTGTCATACAATTTGAAACTTTAAAGCATATTAATTGTTAGGCCTAATTAGCCTGGTATTGCCCTTTTAAAAAGTTAAATTAGTCTAATGAAACCGTAGCCCTAAGCAAAGCAGAAATGAACATGGGTGCTTTGAAGTGAAGTTCCTCCCTTCCACCCGGTAATCCCCAAGACTGCATCCCGGGAGACAAGGTGCCACGGGGAGAGAGGGTGGGCAGCTGGGGATGCCCCGCAGGCAAGGACATTGAGACCCCTGACCTAGTGGCTGAAATACACTTATCTTGAGATAAACATTTAAAAATCACTCAAACAGGAGAAATGAAAACACTTTCAAAAAGACTAGGTCTCAGGCCAAAAGGAGATATACCCTAGAGCTCTATGAGACCCAGCAAGGGGTTTGGCGGACTTTTTTCATATTGCGCTCAATGACCGCTCCAAGGATTCCCCAAAAAGATAGACCTTTTCTGAACAGTGGTGGATCTTTTGGAACATGCTTTAGACTAGGTAGAAACCAATCAAAACTACTCACACAAACGTTATTTAAAAATTATACCTAAATTTGCTTTTAACAGCTTTATAAGCTGGTTCAATCATTCATCGCTTCAGTGTAAACAGGGTCCTAAAGAATGCACAAAACTGAAGTCAAATGCAGTAGAAACACTGGACACAGAGGAAAATTAGACTCTTAAGATGAATGCGTGTTGTCACAGATTGCTGCTGGAATTTCAGAAGGAAAGAGCATGTCTTAGAAGCCTGTTGGAGTCCATTACAGAAGTGAGTTCATGAACTACTAGATCTGTAGGCTCATACAAAAGAAATTAACCACAGATTTTCACATAAAATTTCCTTCCTCCTCTTTCCATTTCCTTATGATTTAAAGTAGGACATTTGCCACTTGATCTGAGCAATGTTTCTGTTTGTATTACAGTGACACTGAAGGAGCCCTACTTATGAATCAGGGCTTCGTCACACAAGGTGCTATGAAACGGAACAAAAAATCCCTGCCTCAAAGAGCTGAAAATGTAATTATATGACAAGAAACAACAAATGGATACAGTTAGGGGGTACAAAAAAAACCAATGAGACAATGTTGGTCACTTATTACAGCACCAGCATAGTCACAGGAGAATTTTAAGGAATGATTTGAAGAGGCAATTCTGTGGAGGTTTATAGGGAGCACATCACAAACCTGATGGAGTATGGGAAAGCGTATGAAAGATGCTTGTCTGAAAAGTTAGCAAGTAGGCAATGCAGGTTGACATCATGGGCCAATAACTGGCTTTAGTTTTAGACCTCAAATCTAGTCGTTCTTCTTTCCTTTCCTTTCAAAGTGTTAATTCAAATAAAGCCCAGCAACATTAAAACTATTAATTTAAACAGCAGTTAGCCCTCTCTCATCTTCAAAACACTGTATAAAAATATGAATCCTCCCAAAGCTATGACGCAGATATTTCCCTCATCTTATAGATGAAGAAGCTAATACAGAGATAATCAAGTGTCTCTGTCATTGGCGAAGACAAGGTTAGACCTAAGCTGTCCTTAGTTCAGTGTTTCCCAATTGGTGCTCCGTGGAACCCCAGGGTTCTGCAAAACGAAAATAAGGGTTCCGCAAGAACGCGACATTGCCCCGCCCCCTCTTAAAGAGACAGAGTATTTTGCAGGTTTTTTTGCTCAACCAATTCTGGTGGGGCTTTTTTTGGGGGGGGAGGCTTGCCAAATTTTACTCTGGGAACCCTAGGGATTCCTTGAAATTATTTTAAGCTGAAAAGGGTTCCGTGGCCAAATAAAATCAGGAAACACTGCTTAGCTCCTCTCCACCAGACTGCTGCCTCTGCAGACATGAATAGAGGAACAGCAACAGGGGCTCAGTGTGCTGCAAAGGAGTACACAAAGCACAGCTCACTATTATTAACACAACCTGAAATACTATTATAAATGCTGCACTTGCATCATCTCTCTCTCTTCTTCCAATATTTTGGGCAAGTACTTTCAGGCTTCAGAAAGTAGGGATGCAAAAAGGTAACGGGGTTATGCGTAAGCATTAGGCTTACTGGCATGCTTACCCGGTAACCAGTTAACTGGGCCAGCTGAAGCAGACACCTTCACCTCCCCACCCCGCCAAAGTTAGAGCAGGTTGGCCAGGATGGGACCTCGGCTGCAATGGCCCCTGCCTGCAGCAGCATCTGCTCTGCCTGGCTGGTGGGATCCCAGCCAACCAGCAGCAAGCCAAACTGATGTGATTGTGTAGATCGGAGGAAAATGTAATCTGGAACAATTGGGCAAAACAAATTAAATTATAGATCCTCTTACTCCGACCAATTCCTCTGGAGCAAGGGTACCTGCCAGAAAGGAAGAAGGAAAGCAACAAAATGGCAAAATATATTTTTAATTCTGTTTCAGTTTTCATTACTTTTCCCTTTGACTATATAATATATAGAGCAGGGGTGGCCAACCCATTACAGACAAAGAGCCAAAATAATGGTGGATAAATCGCAAAGAGCCAAAGGAAAGAAGTTGTTGAGAAGGGGGGAAAAAAAAAAAACGATGGCCTTTTAAGAGCTGCGTGTGGCCCAAGCAGGCTTCCATCGGCCGCAGCATCAAATCTCGCTGCCCCAAGCAGCGCCCTGACCAGACAAGGAAAAAAGGTCAGAGCAGGGGAACACAGAACAGCCCCGGGTGCCGCAATTTTTCTTTTGAAGAGCTGCATGAGGCTCGTGAGCCACCCCGATATAGAGTATGAACAGAATACTTTTAAGTATCACTAATAT